AAGGGGCGGGGAAGGGGCGGGGAGTGGGGACCCTCCCCCTCAGTGCACGCGCTCACTGTCGCCTTTCCGGAAAGTCTATATCGCGCTCCCAACTTCTCGTCGGGCAAACTGTCTGCTTACACTTCTGCCAAGGAGGCAGCCTCAGCATTCTCCGCTGTAAAATGGGGACAAGTTCAGCTTTCGTCTGGAGCAGAAACAAAGGCGCTGCTAGATAATGGTGGTTTTCTTGCTCTCCCCGAATCACGTGTGTTGCACTTGTGCCTGAACTCACTAAGGGATCAGTTCTGGCCTATACACTTCCATACCCTCAGCTCTTGGCATATTGCCTGGCACACAGCAGGCACATAGTCCCATTTACTGAATGAATGAATGAATGAATGAATGAATGCCTCAGGACACATGAGTGAGTCTCTCACTGAAAGGACTGGCCCTGAAGATGCTCAGATCACATTTTCACCTTCCCCACCAGGGCTGGGGGTCTTGCTCAGACCTGGCTGGTTCTCCTCACTCCTTACCTGAAATCACTCCGTTTCCCACCGCCAGACATTTGTTCTAGCTGTTCCATTTGAATGTCTTCTTTCCCTCCTTCCTTTCAACCAAATCCAAACCCTTCAGACTTGACTGTTCTTCCTACTTTTCTACCTGGGTCCCTTCCCTGAGGGCAGACAGAGATCCCACACCAGGATCCAATCACAAGTGGGCCCCAGGAGGAGGGACCAGGTGGCTGTCTTGGGATGGCAGGGAAGGTTGGAGGCCTAGAGTGGGAGGGCCAAAGCAGACGGATAGGCTGCGGAAGGCATATACTGTGGCACAGAGGCTTTCTGGGCTCCCCTGTGTCTGGATCTTCTGCTTGCTCCATGGATGGCATGAGAACACGCTGGATCATGAATCCCAGTCCATAGAACTGAAGATTCTTTTGTTGAGCACCTATTTTTGTCCCCGTCTAAAGTCATTTGCTGTACCTCTTGCTGGGATTTCCTGGGTCCTTAACTCTATCTCAAACCCCTACAAATATTTGCATGCTCTAGTATATGCAGAAGAGATTCAAATCTAGTCCTTTGTTTGATACCCTATTTAATCCCCTGTATCAAGCATGACTGTGCGGAGAGCAGGGCATCAGGTGAGGAAGCTGCTCCAGTTCCTGACCTCAGCTGACAACAGGCCAACAAGGGGACAACACACAGAAATCACACAAGGTCAGAGCTCAGTCATCCAGAAGTGAGAGTATGGTTACAGACTGATGGGGAGCACTCTGTGAGAGTGGTTAACTGCAGGAAACACATGGAACACCCAAATTGGGCATTTTGAGGAGAGTTTAAAGAAGGCATTATTTAGAGGTGTAGTCAGGGAAACCACATGGATAGTGTATCACCAAAGGGCTAGCAAGAGCAGCCTTTTGATGTCCACCCTAGGCTGAAGCTGCCACCCCTAGCTGAGAGGTGCTGGGAGGGAGTTGTCAAAGTGGGAGCTATGAGGAGGGAGCGGCTGACTGGAGGTGTGCCCTAAGCTCCAGGGGCATAACCCGCTCACGGCAATCATACTGCAAAGGACTGGGGGTCTAAAGGGGCCTTCCCCACCTCCCTTCCTCTGACTTCTGGGCAGGTCTCCCCATTGGCCAATTCCTACTCTTGAAGCCAAGGGCAGGGAACCTGTTGATTCCGCCTACAGAAGTCAGCCTGCTAGAGTGTGTCAGGGGGTTGGGAGGAGGCAATGGAAGGTACTTAGGATGTGGGTCAGGGACTTTGACTTACAGAGGAAACACAGACTGCTTTGTGCTTTTCTTATCATTCAGTTCTAAATATTTCATAATTTCACTGTCATTTCCTCTTTAACCCATGGATGATTGAGAAGTGTGTTTTAGCTTCCCAGCCTATGGGAGGTTTATGTTTCTCGTGTTGACTTCTAATTATGTTGCATTGTGGTTGGAGGTCATGGTCTGTAAGATTCTTTGGAATGTGATGTGACTCCTTCTGTGGCTTTGCACATGGTCATTTGCTGTACCTCCAGCTGGGTTTTATAGGATGGCAGGGGTTTGCCTGGTGAAGAGTGAAACGTAGAGAATCTTACATTGTGGGAAATATAGCTGATCCATTTAGAAGGAACTTCAGAAGTTGCCAGCTCACCCACAGATCCACAGTGTCTGCTCAATACTAGCTGACAGGTTGCAGGACTGGGAGAAGATAGAGATAGCCCAGGTCTCTCAAATGCCTGTCCCCACTTCCTGTGGCTCTCAGTCTGGGCTAGATTCTTACAGGAGGCTCTGCTGGGGCTGAGAAGATCCAGACCTTTGGGAACAAGATCCCAGCTTTACAATGTATTTAGCTGTGTGACTGGGTTACTCCTGTACTCCCTGATGGCATGCTGTAACTCTACAGGCACTGTTCCCTGCCACTGTGTCCTGTGTATGGTAAGTGGCTCAAATAAGGCCCTGTCTCTGAAGCGTGGTGGGGACCACTGAGAACCTAGTTGAGGACATAATCTTCTCCACTGCAAGAACATGACTCCTCGTGGGGAGCTCCAATGGCAGGGGGTGGTATCCAGACCTGGGCTCCTGCCCTGCCCTGTGTCTCTAGGAAAGCCCCTGTCCTTCTTTGGGCCTCAATTTTCCCCATCTGCACCACAAACACATCTTCCATCCATACCATTCCAAGTGCCTTACCAGGACAAGCTTCCTGCTTTTGCCCCTGTGAGCCTGTTACCTGTGACTCCACTGATACAGAGGAGTCTCTCCCTGGGGCCTTCCCAGTCCCTCCTATGCCAGAAAAGTTTCCCCATACCCACACTCCTCTCAGAATGAGGTACAGCACCCCCAGAGCACCCCTCAGGCTTCTGGAAACTCCAATGAGGAAATCTGGCCAGAATCAGAGGAAGGGAGGTGGGGGAGGCCCCTTTAGACCCCCAGTCCTTTGCAGTATGATTGCTCCTCGAGCTTAGGCCACAGCTCCAGTGGAGGAGCCAGATGGGGCCCACCTTCTCCTCAATCTCCCAAGAAAATGTTTCTATTTCAGCTCTGCCTTTTCCTGCCCAGAAGGCAGTATCTTTCATCCTGGCACATTTAGGAAAAAGCAAAGAATAGCCTCATTGCAATAAGAGGAATTGAGGTTGGACTTCCTTTAGTTTGAAAGACAATGTTGAAAAGAATGTACATTAAAATTCTGTGTGACCTTGGACAAGGCATTTGTCCTCTCTGAGCCCATTTCCCCCTCTGTAAAATGGAAACCACAATAATACGTGCCCCAAAGAAGAGCTGTGAGGGTCAGCAGAAGGCTGTGGTCAGTCTATAGGGGGTTCTGCCTTCAAGCCTCAGCAGGCTCTTGTGTAGAGGAGGGGTGACCCCGTTCCCGTGGTCCTGGAAGACAAGGGGCAGTGACCAGGACAACATGAGAGGACAGTTGACACATCAGGGCTGGCCAACCATGTAGCCTGGATGGCTGTACTCACTTCTTGGGGTGGGGGTGGGGAGAATGAATGTGCAAGCAAAGGTGACGCAGCCCACTGTGACATGGGCTTTAGTCCCTCTGAAGAGCAGGAGGGCCCTCTTGAGCCTGAGAACCTCAGACTCAAGTGTTCTGTGCTCCCAGGTCCCTCTTCCCTCCCTGCTCCCTGCTCACCCCTTGAGTTGGAGGCATAGCTCTCACCTCTCCAGATTTCAGGATTTCCATCTTGGATCTGTGGTGGAAGCCTAGTGTGCATAATAGCCTTAGGATAATTTCTAACACCCTCTCCAACCTGACCTGACCTGACACTGTCCTCTACAGATGCATGCCCTCCAACCACTTGGGTTAGGTCTCAACTCAGGGGGGTCCCAGGAGTGGAGGTGATAGTTGGAGGTGAGGAGGGGGAAGCGGGGGGGTCGGGGGTTAGAAGGTAGGCTGTGGTGACAGTTTGCCAGTGTCCCAGGCTCAGCCTTCCATGGAACCCACCATGAAGCCTGCACAGGAAGTTCTGTCCAAGCCTACTTCCTCTGCCACTGTGGTGCCTCCCTTTAGGCCTCTCTTATAAGGCCTCTCTTATAGGGCTGCCTGCCTAGAGCATGACCCCAGTTCAAACCCTCCTCAGGCTACTGCAGTCTGTGAGGGTCAGCACTTGTTGTGTTGGGTAATAGGGACTTGGGGTTCATTATGCTATTGGTTTTACTTTAGCATATGTTTGAAAATTTCAACAATAAAAAGTTTCTTCCCTCTTCTCAGCATCCTTTCTCCCAGTGTTTTCAGTAATACCTGCCTTAGCCTCGTCATTGGGGGTGGGGATTCCTTACAGAAGACCATCTGATTCTGACCAAGCCTGGAGGTCTCTCAGTTTCAGGAGGGACTGGGAATAGAGGAAATCAGCAAATCCAGAATGACATAAATTCTATAGGACGGATTCTGAACACATAAATGTCAAGAAAACAAAAGAGGTGAGGGAAAACCTGTAAGTTAAGAGTGACTTAATATGGGATACCACTCAGCAATAAAACAAACTGGCTATTGAGAGTTGTAGCAACTTGGATAATTGCAAAGGCATTGTGCTGAGTGAAAAAATTTAATCTTAAAAGATTACATACTATATGGTTTTATTATATACATTCTCAAAATGACAAAATTATAGTGATGGAGAGCAGATCAATGGTTGCCAGGAGTTAGGACTGAGGAGGAAAGTTTGACTATAAAGGCGTACATAGCACGAGGGACTTTCTTCTCTTGGTGATAGTATCCTGATTGTGGTTCCACAAACTTAAAATTTCATAGGACTATAAACAAAAGGAAAAAATAAAGAATGAGTGCGTATAAAAGCTGGTGAAATCCAACATAAAGTCTGTATTTACATTGTATGCATGTCAATTTCATGGTTTTGGTAATTATGGCTATTGTATGTTACATTGGGGAAAGCTGAGTGAAGGGCACATAGGAACTCTATTATTTT